GTTCTTGTAAAGTGCTAGACCAACGTGCGAGCTTGCATATAAGGCGGGGTTAAAGGCCAAACAAAAATAAAAATAGTGACATGTTTCATGAATTAATTATTTGAACCCAACATTCTTACAAAAAGTAAATTCACAATGGTAGAATATGTAATAGAATAAGGGAACACCGTGGTCGAACAGTAGAGCTTACGGCTGCAAGCCTGAAAGAAAGTCTCGAGTTCGGATCCCGATCTTGACGTCCTAGATGGGTATCTGGCTCAAGTTAGGGAAACAAAGACAGCTGGGTATGACCACACTATCAAAATGTATGCTGAGGTCATTGAATTAGATGAACTCTACTTCATCTGCGCCAGGTGTCTTGGGCACGAACGGGAAAAGATAATAATGAATATCATTTACCATCGAAGGTACAACACATAAACTGATTCGTTTGAATGACGGTATCAACTTAGATACAACAAGAAAAGGACTGACGTCAGCAAGTCGACAGTTGGTCTATTTCATGTGACAGATGCAGCAGTTGTTAACGAACACCCTCCCACTCAAGTATGACACATGCATTGTATGCCAATTACGAGCCTCCCCCCCCCCTCCCCCACCAAGTTTGACACATGCATTGTATGCCAATTACGAGCCTTCCCCACCAAGTTTGACAGATGTATAACAGACGTCAATCGACAACCTCCCCCACAAGTTTGCTCCCCCGTGGTCACGCGCGACCCCGGCAGGACGAGAGTGATCACGATTGTACTTTCGACCAAGTGTTTACTGGCCATGTGGGCTAAAGTTCCAGGACTGGACGGAAACAGGTACAACCTGCCGCCGCCGCCAATAGAAATCAATTACCAGAAATGTTTGCCACTATCAAGGAAGGCGCGATAGCCCTCAAGAAAGTGGACTTTCCATAATTTTTTGGGGGAGGGGGTGGTGGGGGTGGGGTGTTTATGAGATTCGTGTTATCGGCAAGGAGTTAAAAACAAGAAGTTGCGTGAGGTAGAGTTGAGTGAGGTAGAGTTGAGTGAGGTAGAGTTGAGTGAGGTAGAGTTGAGTGAGGTAGAGTTGAGTGAGGTAGAGTTGAGTGAGGTAGAGTTGAGTGAGGTAGAGTTGAGTGAGGTAGAGTTGAGTGAGGTAGAGTTGAGTGAGGTAGAAGTTGGGTGAGATAGAGTTGAGTGAGGTAGAGTTGAGTGAGGTAGAATTGAGTGAGGTAGAGTTGAGTGAGGTAGAGTTGAGTGAGGTAGAGTTGAGTGAGGTAGAGTTGAGTGAGGTAGAATTGAGTGAGGTAGAGTTGAGTGAGGTAGAGTTGAGTGAGGTAGAAGTTGGGTGAGATAGAGTTGAGTGAGGTAGAGTTGAGTGAGGTAGAGTTGAGTGTGTATATGCCCTTCTTGTTCCACAATGCCATCTAACGCCTTAATGTTCCACTGAATGATCTAATGCCCGTGTGTTCATTTATGCCTTCTAGTGCCCAAATGTTCTAACTGTTAATAAATGCCCTAATATTCCACTCAGCCATCTTATAATGCCCATTCTGCCCTCTAGTGCCCAAATACTTCATCCTGCCCCCTAATATCTAAACCACCTACCCAGACATTAAATCCCTAAATGACCCCCTCCCCCACCCACGTACCCAACTCTTCAAACCGTCCAAAGCCAACACCTCACCACATCACTAACACACACACACACACACACACACACACACACACACACACACACACACACACACACACACACACAAACGCACCCACACCAGCCTTTTTAAGGGAAGAGCTTTCCATTTTTTTTTTCTTCAACCCATAAAAGACTCACTAATGGCTTGTCTAGACGCTTCCAAAATAGCGAGAGCCTTCCTGATCGAACTTGGCACGGGTAGAAATCCATGCTAATTGGCCCCCCCAAGGTTGTGCTGACCATTCAGAACATGTGGAGATCTAACCTAGACAGAAGCTCACTTCACATTTTTTTTATTGTTGCTGAAAACGTCATCGCTAATGATGAAGATTTACTTGATAAAAACAGCTGTTTTGGAAGTAAGGGTGTTTGTGTTTTGCTAGATTATCCGCTGATGTTGAAAATATGGAAAAAAAAACTTTTTTTTTTTTTTGTGAATTGATCTGATCATTAGAAATTGTCGATGTGTAATGCTGGTATGTGACATCGGGACGGCGTGGTTGAATGGTAGAGCGTTCGACTGATAGACCAAAAGTCTCGAGTTCGGATACCGTGCTCGATTACAAGAACATCACTGAGTCCACACAGAACGTTAGGGAAACTCCATGCAGATGGGTGTAGTGCTGACCACACTAACCATTCATATGCCGAGGTCGCTGAAACAGGTGAGCTCTACTACATCTGTAAGGTACAAAGTGGTACTGTTCGTGTATATTTGTGTTCGTATATGAATGGGTCAGTTACCATTGAGCGTGTTTGTTGACATTCACGCAGGATGTAACTTTGACGACAGTGCTCACCAACACAGCATAATTTAAAGACGTATCCAGCATCAGTCAAACGCGGTTAGCACGTGCAAATCACGGTTCCATACGACACGGAGACAGGGCCAAGTGGAAGAAATGATGCCGGTATTAAAACCACGTTGGTGCCACGTAGAGACCGCCAACTGGTGTTCTGTGAGATGGGGGT